ACGCTGGGTTCGGGGAAGAACTGGGCGAGGAGGAGGGGGAGGAGGAGGAGGAGGAGGAGGGAGGATGAGGAGGAGGAGCTGGGGGAGGAGAGGAGGAGGAGGAGGAAGGAGGAGGAAGAGGAGGAGGAGGGAGGAGGAGGAGGAGAGAGGGAGGAGGAGGAGGAGGGAGGGAGGAGAGGAGGAGGAGGAGCAGGAGGAGGAGGAGGGAGGAGGGAGGGGCCCTCGCCTTCGGGCCGTTTCCGCTCGGCGGGGGGTCGGGGCGCGTGCTCGCGGGCGAGGCGCGCCGTGCCCGGAGAGAGAGGCCCCTTTGTTCCGCAGCCAGCGCGCGCCTCCTGGCAGCCCGGCGGCCGCAGGTCCGGGAGGATCCACGGGCACCGGGGGAGCGGTCGGGACCGCCTTGTTTTGGGGCCGCGGGCCGGAAGAATCTCATCGTCGGAGGTCTGTGTTATTTGTCGCGGTGGTGGCCGGTGGTGGCACTGGTGGTAGTTTTGGTGGCAGTCCTCATTCCTCCTCTTCCTCCTCCTCCTCCTCCGCCTCCTCCTCCGCGTCCTCCGCCTCCTCCGCCTCCTCCTCCTCTTCCTCCTCCTCCTCCTCCTCCTCCGCCTCCTCCTCCTCCCAGGGCCAAGTCCGGTCCGATCGATCTGGCTCGTCAAGTGCGGCCCGATGCCTGCACGAGCGCTCTTGTGTGCCCTGGGGCGGCCGATCCGATCCAGTTCGCGGCCCGATCCGACGCATGCTTCGATGATCCGATCCCAAGCAGTGACGAAGCGTCCTGGCTCGCCTATAGCCCCACCAAACAATGTTCTAATAACCTTTTGGGGTTGCCACGAAAGGTTCTTAGAACATTTCTGGCTGGGGCTGTTTGGTTTTATCGCATCGGGTTTATGTTCTAAGAACAGTGTTTTTGTTCTTAGAACATTTTGGGGTTCTAAGAGCATTTCGTGGTAGGACTATAGGAATGCCGGGACGGTCGGTCCCTTCTCAATCGATGATCCGATCCCAATTGTCGGTCCGATGGTGTCTGATTCTGCCGCCCCCAACTTTTGTGGGTCACCGCGGCCTGTGCCATTCGACTCGATCCGATGTGTCAGGTCGATGGTGAGCGCTCCCGGCTCTTTCGGCTGCGCGCCGAGGAGGGCGGTGGGAGGGTGCAGGCTTTCTCAGAGTGCGGCGGGGCTTCTTTGAAGCGCTGGCGCCTTCTGAGAAGCCGTGTGTGTCTTCGGGTGAGGCGTAGAAAGCTCCTCAGAGGGAAGATCCGCCCCCTCTGCCTTCCCCTCTCAGCGTGCCGCCGGCTCACGTCCGCCCAGGACCCAGTCGAGAAGGCGCGCCTGGAGCTGATGGCGGGCGACACGGCCGAGGGTAAGCAAGCCTACGCTGCCCTCGCCACGGAGACCACGACGTACGAGGAACCTCTGCGGCAGGGGGAGGGGGGAGAGGGGAGGACTGGGCAGCGGTGCAGACACATGTTCAGAGTTGTCAACGGAGCAGGCAGCCAAGCCGAAGTGAAACACATGCATACTATACAACCTTGAGACATGCAAGCAATACAAGCGTTCACACGCATTCAGATGTTTACACATTGTATACTTCACATATGACTTATAGATATAGATGGGTATTGATGCATGAGCATTGAGAGAGAGAGAGAGAGAGAGCCGATTCTGTCACATATGATAAGATGATGCCCTCCCCTATGTGTTGTTTCCCTCCCCTATGTGTTGGCTTCCTCGTTTTGTTGTAGCGGGGTACAAGGGGATTTCTGGGTGGCGGAATACAAAAGTACAAACTTATTCTTTCTAAGGTGGAACTTCCGGTTGTGAGCGAAAATCGCGGGCAAACACCAGAAACGCCAAACAAACAAAGACAACAACCACCCCCAACAATCATGAACTCTGGCAAACGATCCTGGATCATCGCTACAATTTTTGCCGAAATTATGGTTTCTTTGGGGGTTATGTCCGCGCTTCTCTCTCACAAAGGGAATCCTTGTGTATACCGCCTTAAAGGAATCCTTTGTATCCGCCACAAGGGGACTCCTTCTTTACCCCGCCACAACCATAATCCTTACCTATTGTGCCACGCTGCGAAACTTTGGGGGTCACTCCACCACTCAAGGAGTCGTTTTGCAATCCACCGCAACAAGAAATCTTTAGTATTTCGCCGCAAAGGGAATCCTTATGTATGTTACCACAAAGGCAATATGGTTGCATTCTGCCGCACTAGGAAGCCTTTTTTTCTTCTATCGGTCACCAGAGAATTCTTCTTACATTCCGTTACGTAGAGAATCCCTTGGTAGCCAACCACATATGGATTCTTGTTCCCAACCATCCTGTGGTGTTGGGTACTCGTTTTGAAGAGACGGTGCCCCGCGTTCCTCTCCTATCCTCTCCTCTCCTCTCCTCTCCTCTGCTCTCCTCTCCTCTCCTCCTCTCCTCCCCTCCTCTCCTCCTCTTCTCTTCACCCACCCAGTACACCGTTTCGTGGCTCCATAGGGAGCTCC